AAAAAAGATGAACTCATAGAAACAGAGTAGAAGGGTGGTTGCCATGGGATGAGGGAGTGGGGGAAAAAAGGAGATGCTGGTCAAAGGGTACAAACTTCCAGTTATAAGATGAATAAGTTCTGGGGATCTAACGGATACAGCATGATGACTATACTCACCTATATGCTTGAAAGAGACTGACTTATACTTGCTAAGAGAGCAGATCTAAGATGTTCTCACCACAAAAAAGAAATGGCAATTATGTGAGGTGATGGAGGTGTTAACTAACCCTACTGTGGTAATCACTTTGCAATATATAAGTGTACACACCTTAAACTTAGACAATGTCATATGTCAATTATATCTCTATAAAGCTGGGGGAAAAAAGAAAAACATTAAATCAAAATGAATCCATGATCTAAATTAGGAAGACCTAAAACTTTATTATAAAACTCTTAGAAGAAAATGTGGGGCAAAAGATTTACAACACTGGATTTTGCAATGATATGAAAGACACAGGCAACTAAAGAAAAAATAGACAAATTGAAATTCATGAATATTAAAAAATCTTGTACATCAAAACACACTGTTGAGAGCCCAGAAATAAAACCACACATCTATGGACAGCTAATTTTGGACAAAGGAACCAAGAACATATAGTGGAGAAAGCAAAGTCTCTTCAATAAATGATGTTGGGAAAACTGAACAGCCACATGCAAAAGAATGAAAGTAGACCACTGTCTTACACCATACACAAAAAAACTCAAAGTGGATTAAAGACTTGAATGTAAGACCTGAAACCATAAAAATTCTAGAAGAAAACATAGGCAGTATACTCTTTGACACCAGTCTTAGCAGTATCTTTTCAAATACCATGTCTACTCAGGCAAGGGAAACAAAAAATAAACAAATGGGACTACATCAGACTAAAAAGCTTCCACATGGCAAAGGAAACCATCAACAAAACAAAAAGATAATCCACCAACTGGGAGAAAATATTTGTAAATCATATATCCAACAAGGGGTGAATTTCCAAACTACATAAAGAACTCACACAACAACAAAAAAATGAACAACCCAATCAAAAAATGGGCAGAGGATACGAACAGACATTTTTCCAGAGATATACAGATGGCCTCCAGGCACATGAAAAGATGTTAAACATCACCAATTATTAGGGAAATGCAAATCAAAACTACAGGGGCTGGCCCAGTGGCCTAGTGGTTAAGTTCGGCACGCTCTGCTTCAGCAGCCTGGGTTTGGTTCCTGAGCCTGGACCTACACCACTTGTCAGTGGCAATGCTCTGGCAGCAACCCACATGCAAAAGAGACGAAGGTTGGCAACAGATATTAGCTCAGGGCAAATTTCCCTTAAGCAACAACAACAACAACAAAAGAGCAAGATTGGTGACAGATGTTAGCTCAGAGTGACTTCCTAAGCAAAAAGAGAAAAAAAGGAAACTACAATGAAATATCACCTCACACCCATCAGAATGGCTATAATTAACAAGACAAGAAATAAGTGTTGGGGAGGATGTCAAGAAAAGGAAAGCCTGGTACACTGCTAGTGGGAATGCAAACTAGTGTAGCCACTATGGAAAATAGTATGGAGATTCCTCAGAAAATTAAAAATAGAAATACCATATGATCCAGCTATTCCACTACAGAGTGTTTATCCAAAAAATATGAAATAAATAATTCAAAAACATGTATGTGCCCCTATGTTCATTGCAGCAGCATTCACAATAGCCAAGATGTGGTAGCACCCCAAGTGCCCGTCAACGGATGAATGAATAAAGAAGATGTGGTATATACACACAACAGAACACTACTCAGCCATAAACAAATACAGAGTCTTGCCATTTGCAATATGGATGGACCTTGAGGGTATTATGCTAAGCCAAATAAGTCAGTGAGAGAAAGACAAACACTGTATGATTTCACTCATATGTGGATGATAAACAAACAAACACAAAGATAAGGAGAACAGACTAGTGGTTACCAGAGGACAAGGGGGTGGGGGGGAGGGCGAGAGGGTTAAAGGGGCACATATGTATGGTGACAGATAATAACTAGACTTTGGTGAACACGATGCAGTCTATACAGAAACTGAAATATTATAATGTACTCCTGAAATTTACACATTATAAGCCAGTATGACCTCAATAAAATAATTCTAAAACAGCCACACAGTATTAACACAGTAAAATGGTAGAAAATATTTGTAAATCATATATTGATAAGGGATTAATATCCAAAATATATAGAGAACCCCTAAAACTCAACAAAAATCAAAAAAGAACCCAATTCATAAATGGGCAAAGGACTTTGGATAGATATACTAGTGGACATAAGTACATGAAAAGCTGTTTAACATCACTAATCATTAGGGAAATGCAAATCAAAACTCCTGTGAGATACCATCTCACACCCATTAGGATGACTACTAGCAAAAAAAATAAAATAACAAGTCTTCATGAGGATGTAGAGAAACTATAACCCTTTTGCACTGTTGGTAGGAGTGAAAAAAGGTACAGTCCCTGAGGAAAACAGTATGGTGGTTCCTCAAAAGATTAAAAATAGACTAACATATGATCCAGCAATTCAATTTCTAGTTATATGCTCAAAATCATTGAAAGCAAGGATTTGAAGAGATATTTGTACATCCATATTCATAGCAGTGTTTTTCACAATAGCTAAAACGTGGAAGCAACCCATGTGTATATATGAATGAATGGATAAGCCAAATGTGATCTATACATTCAATGGAATATCATTCACCCTTGAAAAGAAGGGAAATTCTGACACATGCTACAACGTGGATGAACCTTGAGGACATTATACTAAGTGAGATAACCAAGTCACAAAAAGACAAATACTGCATGATTCCACGTACATGAGATATTTAAGAATATTTAACATCACAGAGACAGAAAGTAGAATAATTTTTGCCAGCAACTAGGAGCAAAGGGGAATGATGATTTAGTGTGTAATGGATACAGAATTTCAATTTTGCAAGATGAAAAGAATTCTGGAGACAGATGGCAGTGCTGGCTACAAAAAATATGAATGTACTTAATGCCACTGAACAGAACCATTTAAAAATGGTTAAGATAGTAAACTGTATGCTATTTGGCATTTTACCAAAATTTTAAAAAATTGGTAAAAAGGAAAAGAAACAAAAAAACCTGGAAGAAGCGACTCATGAAAAATAAGTAACAAGGTTGCTGTAACAGTGGCAAATTTCATGAAACTGTTCATGAAACAAAATGAAACTCTTACACAAAATGTCAAGATAATATATATTATAGGTTTTCTTTGCTTTACAGTATCTGTCCCAACTCCTCAACTTCTTTTTTTTAAAGATTTTATTTATTTATTTTTCCCCCAAAGCCCCAGCAGATAGTTGTCTGTCATAGCTGCACATCCTTCTAGTTGCCGTATGTGGGACGCGGCCTCAGCATGGCCAGAGGAGCGGTGCGTCAGTGCGCACCCGGGATCCAAACCCGGGCCACCGGCAGCACAGCGTGCGCACTTAACCGCCAAGCCACGGGGCCGGCCCAACTCACTCCTCAACTTCTGATAGTAGCAAGAAAGCAGCTGTAGAAAACAAACAAATGAGCATAGCAGTGCTGTAATAAAACTTTACAAAAATGGGTATCAGGTTGCCTTTGGTTTGTGGGCCATGTTTTATCAGCCATTGTTTAGCAGATAAAGAGTCACGATAATCAAATAAACCTAGACTGGATACAAATTTGAAAATTAGTTATAAAAGACATTCCTGGTAAAAATTTTTAAATTTGAATATGGATTAAATATTGGAAGAGAAAATTATTACTCATTTTCTTATGTGTGATTTTATGGCAATCTGAGTAAGTAGGAAATTGTCTTTTTAGCAGATGCATTGATATATGAAAGGGAAGAAACATCATGTTCATAACACTGAAATTATTCAGTAAGATGTATAGGAAAGAGAAAGCTAATGTGGCAGTACATTAACATATATTTGTTGTACTGTTTTCATAACTTTTGTGTTTAAAATTATCCATAATAAAACATTTGAGAAAATTACAAAACGGATATCCTTTTCTTAATTTGTAATCAATTCTGAATGTGCAAAAGGAATGTAACTTACTTGCTATTTTCAAATTTTCAAAATCTATATATCTGAATTTCATTCCAAGATTAAGTGTTTGATGTACCTTAAGAGATCTGAATGAAGATCCTCTCATGTTTTTTACTTACAATCTGACTTTATCCATAATGAATTCTAATTCAAAAAGCGATAAGTAGTTACAGAAACTTTTAATTCAATAAACCTATAGGCCCTTTATCTCCTAAGAATCTATTAATAACATAAATAATGCTTATATTAGAAATAGTGGCTAATGTCTTTTGAATACAAAGTATATGCCAAATACTTCTCCAGGTTTTTTTCATGTACTACTTCATGTAATTCTAAGAACAGCAGTATACCGTAGGTACTACTATCAACATTTACAAATGATGCCCAAAGGGGATCAATACCTTACCCGTCACACAAGGTGTAAGGAGTGCAAACACAATCATGATGGTTAAGATAGGTACAGTGGCCAAAGGCTTCCCATATCTGTTACATTAATAGATGTTTTCTGTATTATGATTTTTCTCAAATTTAATAATTGATTGGTGCTAAAAAGGTCTTATACATAAAGTATAAAGAAAAAGGCTTTCCTACATTCTCTAAATTTTCCTCTAGTATGAATATTCTGATAATCCATAAATAGGGGAATGTTAAAAAGGCTTTCTTGTGATATATACTGTATGAGTTCTCTGAATTGAGCAATATTTTGGTCATAACTAAAAAACATCAAACATTATATACTTTCCATGGAGTTTGCATTAGTATGAATGGATGCCTTATAGGAACTGACCCATATCTAAAAGCTTTCTGACATTGTCTTCATTGAAACTGTTTCTCAGTGGTATAAATCCATCGACGTACAGTATATTGTCTAGTACATATATATGCCATAAAGTCTTTATCCAGTATGAATTCTCTCATGTACTTGAAGGACTGAATTAAGCCTGAAGGACCTCTTGCATTTGTTACATTCAAAGGGTTTCTCACCAGTGTGAAGTCTATGATGTACAGTAAGTTGATGGCTATTATTAAAAACTTTTCCACACTCGTGATATACATAGGGTTTCTCACCAGTATGAATTTTCTCATGTCTAACAAGATATGAAGCACAACGAAAGGCCTTCCCACATTCTTTACATTCATAGGGTTTATCACCAGTATGAATTCTCTCATGACTCACAAGATGTAAGGCATGACTAAAAGCCTTTCCACATTCTTTACACTGATAGGACGTTTTACCAGTATGAATTCTGTCATGTAGTACAAGGCTTGATGTTTGATGAAAAGATTTTCCACATTCCTTACATTTGTAGGGTTTCTCATCAGTATGAACACTCTGGTGTGTTTTGAGGGTTGAAATGAGCCTAAAACACTTCCCTCATTAGTTACATTCAAAGGGTTTCTCACCACTATGAATACTCTGATGCTGAGTAAGTTGTCCAAACACATTAAAGGCCTTCCCACATTCCTTACATTCATAAGGTTTCTCACCAGTATGAATTCTGTGATGTACAGTACGTTTATGCCTATAACTAAAAGCCTTGCCACACTCTTGACACACATAGGGTTTTTCATCAGTATGAATTCTCTCACGTTTAACAAGATATGAAGCACAACGAAAGGCCGTTCCACATTCTTTACATTCACAAGGTTTATAACCAGTATGAATTTTGTTATGATGTACAAGGTGTGCAGATTGACTGAAGACTTTCCCACATTCCTTACATTCATAGGGTTTCTGACCAGTATGAATACTCTGATATACTTTAAGGGTTGAATTGAGCCTAAAGAACTTCCTGCATTTGTTACGTTCAAATGGTTTCTTACCACTATGAATACTGTGGTGTCTAGTAAGTCATCTATACATACTAAAGGCCTTCCCACATGCCTTACATTCATAAGGTTTCTCAACAGGATCACATCTGCAATGTGTAGTACATGGATGGCTACTACAAAAACCCTTCTCAGACTCTCTGCATTCACAGGGATTCATACCAGTATGAATTTGCTGATGTACAATAAGTGCATAATTACTTCTAAAGGCCTTCCCACATTCTTTACATTTGAATGGTTTCTCACCATTCAGTGAATTCTGTTATGACATAAAAGTTGTGATTTTTGACGAAAGGCCTTCCCACATTCCTTACCTTCATTGGGCTTCTCACCACTATGAATAGTCTGATGTACTTTAGGGTTGAATTGAGCCTAAAGGCCTTCCCACATTTGTTACATTCAAAGGGTTTCTCACCAGTCTGAATACTGTAACGTCAAGTAAGTAGTCTATACACGCTAAAGGCCTTCCCAAATTCCTTACATTCATAGCGTTTCTCACCAGTATGAATTGTCTGATGTGTTCTAAGTCTCCCAGCATCACTAAAGGCCTTTCCGCATTCCTTACATACACAGGATTTCTCACCAGTATGAACTCTTCCATGTTGAGCCAAGTTTGAGGCACGACTAAAGGCCTTCCCACATTCTTCACATTCACAGGGTTTCTCACCAGTAGGAATTCTCTGATGTACTCTAAGATCTGGAAGATGACTAAAGGCCTCAAACTCTTTATGTTGGTCAGTTTTCTCACTACTGTGAATTCTGTGATGTAGAATAAGAGATGAATGTTTTCTTTTAGAAATGAACATTTTTCCATCCTTGATTATTTCATAACTTGACTCCCAATCTAAAATAAATAAGAAGATAAAACCATTTTCTTTCCAGGACCAGAAAAAGAAAATGTTCTATAGTAGAATTTATAGAAATTTCAAAATCTTCCTCATTTAGAGATGGTTGAGAGAACGCTACAGTACAATTATAATGTTTGAAAAATTGAAAGGAGAGCTCAGAAAATCATGAGTTTATGCAGTGAAGTGCTGATAAATGTTTAACAACCACCTCTACACACACAGAGAGACAGCCCTATTTTGTAGTGTTTGCCAGTGTCTATAGTGTAAACACTCCCATCATGGTCAATTTCAAGCTATCAATATAATTCAGTGAATACAGACTTAGAGAGAGATGTGCACAAGTTGGCTCTGGTGTAAGGTTACTGGTCAGCTCTAACACACCATTCCCATATATTTAAGTATATAACAAATATAAAATTTTAGAAAGGCAAATATCTATGCCTGATCATTCTGTAATTACAATTCCCCTAGAAAATATAGATGTCTCCACCACTGTGGTTCATTTTTTCCTATGGACGGCCATGTGTGCTTATCTTTATATATCAAATGAGATACTTAGAGTTTTTATTTAGTTATGTTCTCTTGAGATTTTACATTACTTACCCAACCTACAGATATTTAATCTGTTTTATTCCTTCATATCTTTTCTAAGGCCTGCTCTCAATTTCCCTTTTAACCAAGGCCAATCATTCTGGTCATCCCCAGAAGAGTATGTTGATGAAATTTCACACATGTATCAAATATAAACACTACTCTTAGGCAATTTTGAGCATTTAGGGTCTTTGGGCAATAGAGGGGACCTGAATTATATAATGTGGTCAACAGGAAGAATGGCAAGAACTATATGAAAGAGAATTGGCATAAGTGGGCTTCAGGATAACAGTCTATAGTCTATATAACGCAATAGCTTGAGCGAAATCGAAAGTGCTGAATTACCAGGACATGAGTGAGGGCAAAAATATCTACTTGTAACTAGAGTACGGCTTGTATACAAAAAGTTGAAACAACATAAACAACATTCTCCATGATAAAGTAATAATAGAAACTAATAATATCAAAAAACTAAGAGCCTTTTCATGTGGAAGAGAAATATCCTCTGCATAATAAATGTTAGGAAAATATGGAAATAAAAAACGGAAACAGAAGAATTTTAGTAAATCACAATACAGAAAATAAGTACACCTCATAATCTTGGGCATTTGATATCAACATTTAGGGAATTCAAAGACTAAAAGAAAATTAGTTTAGGATCAATAAATAGTTTAGCATCCAAAATTTAGGAAATAAACAACAAACTACAGGAAAGGAGAAAAATAATGATAAAAAGAGAATGTAATGAATTAGAAAACAGCATAGGATTAACAAATAAATTGAAGAGCTGGTACTTATAAAATAATAAAGTGAATTATTACCAAAATTCAGTCAAAAAAGACTAAAAAGAAATAAAGAATAAGAAGTTAAAAGGAGTAAATAAGAAACATGGAGGAATTTATTTAAATTATGAGAGTACTGTATAATGATACAATGGATAATTGACTGGAAAAATTAACCAAAATTGACCATAAAAGAGAAATCCAAACAGACCAATTACCTATATTGTAATTTCTGAATATATAGATCTAAAATATGAATATAGGATAGCTGGACAAAGAGACAATTCAAAAAGGGGGCTAGAAATGTAAGTCTTCAAGTCTTAAGCCAAAAATAAAGTGTTCAAAGGTTTATAGAGCTATGACCTCAAAAAAGTATGAAAATAGTACCATAAAAATTCTTGGGATTTAAAGACAGGTTTTGAAGACAGAAACATACTCAAGGATTTACTCAGGAAACTAGTTAAGTAAATTATAGTGGGAACTGGTTAAACAGTCTATATAAAGCTGATGCTTCTCAGTCTGATAGTAGAACTTCAAGTTAGCAGGGCAAGCAGTTGGGCAAGAAAGTTGTTCATGAAGTGAGGGAAGGACAAAGTGGAATCTTAGAAAATGAGCTAGGACCCATGAAGATGGACTGTAACTTGCAGTAACATCTAGTGTCCTCAAAGACTTCAACTTTGATGATGGGGGAATTCTGCAGGAGAAGCTGGCACCTTTCTTCATGGAGCTAATGACTTAACATGTCCCAAGAGGTACAGAAGCTAAAAGAGGAGATCTGGCAGGAATAGGGGAAACTAGGTTCAGCTGTTGACTCATGGAAACATGGTTAGCCAGCTGTTAAGTGATGACATGTGTGAGCTGTGAGACAATGTCCTGGCCTGCTCTGACAGTCCAAGCATAAGAATATGATTTCTGTTTCAATTTTACCTATACTAAATACTATATTAAATACTAAAATACTAAATACTACACTACACCTATAAATACCTATATTAAATACTAAAAAATACCGAATTGAACCAAAAGAAGTAGGGAAAGAGGAAATAAGTAATAATACAAGATGTAAATGTCAACCCAACCATATCTGTAACATTGGATACTCCAATTAAAAGATCCAAGTTGTTAAAATCAGCAAAACAAAAACAAAAAAAGGCTTAATTATATGCTATTTGAAACCCATTTTAAAGATAAAGATATTGACACAAACAAGTAGAAGAATGGTAAAAGATATACCATGCAAACATCTATTAAGTTATTTATAGGAAAATAAAATATGAAAAACTTTATGGCAATTTCAAAATTCAGATGAATATATACAAAATGAATATATATATATATAATATATACAGTTTAGATAAATATATACAAAATTTAGATGAAATATACAGTTCTTACAAATTTCAGAAATTGGCTCAAGAAGAAACAAAATCTGAATCATTCTGTGCCTATTTAATTACTGAATTCATAATTAAAAACCTTCCCACAAAGAGAACTTGAGGCAGAGAGTACTTCACTACTGAGTTGTACAAATGTTCAAGAAGAATAACGGGCTGGCGCCATGGCTTAGCGGTTAAGTGCGTGCGCTTCACTGCTGGCGGCCCGGGTTCAGATCCCGGGCGCACACCGACACACTGCTTCTCTGGCCATGCTGAGGCTGCGTCCCACATACAGCAACTAGAAGGATGTGCAGCTATGACGTGTAACATCTACTGGGGCTTTGGGGGAAAAAATAAATAAAATTAAAAAAAAAAAGAAGAATAACACTAATTTTACACAAACTCTTTCATTAAAAGGAGGAGGGAATAGGAGCCGGCCCAGTGGTGTAACAGTTAAGTGTGCGCTCTGCTTCGGCGGCCCGGGGTTCGCAGGTTCAGATCCCGGACGCGGACTGGTGCACTGCTTGTGAAGCCATGCTGTGGTGGCGTCCCATATAAAATAGAGGAAGATGGGCACAGATGTTAACCCAAGGCCAATCTTCCTCAGCAAAAAGAGGGTTGGCAACGGATGTTAGCTCAGGGCTAATCTTCCTCACCAAAAAAAAAGGAGGAGGGAATATCTCTCAACTCATTTTATGAAGCCAGCATAACCCTGATACTGAAATCTGATAAAGATAGTACATGAAAATGATACACCAATACCGTGAAAAATGTACACACAAAACTATTAGCAAATTGACTACAGCTATATAAGAACAGTAACTGCCAAGTGGATTTATTCCAGGAACAATTGGTTGGCATAAGATTTGAAAATCAAACATATTAGTAATCAAACTATAATGATAAAAGATAAAAACTATATGATCATTTCATCAAGGAAGAGATACAGATGGTAAGTAAGCACATGAAAAGCAGTCAGCACCATTAGAGAAAGGCTAATTAAAACTGACAAGAGCAAGTACCAGTAAAGATACTGACCAACTGGAAATCTCACACATTGCTGGTGGGAATGCAAAATGGTATAGGCGCTTTGAAAACAGTTAGGCAGATTCGTAAAAACCTCAACATACCTAAAATATGACCCAGCATTCCCAACCATAGGGACTTAACCCTAGAGAAAGGAAAATTTATGTTCATACAATCTATAAACAATATTTATAACAACTTTATTCATAATCACCAGAATCTGGAAACGATCAAAATGTTCTTCAATGGGTAAATGAATAAATTTTTGGTATTCCATACAACAGAATACTACTCAAGAATAAAAAGGAACAAACTGTTCATCCACACAACAGTATGGCTGAACCTCAAATGCCTCATATTAAGTGAAAGAAGCCAGACTCAAAAGGCTACATTTTGTATGATTCTATTTATATGATTTTCTGGGAAAAGCAAAACTATACAGACAGAGAACACATCAGTGGTTGCTAGAGGTGAAGGGTAAGATTATGGTTTGACCACACAGGGGCAGCATGAGGGAACTTTTTGAGGTGATAGAATTGTTCTATATCTTGATTGTGGTTGTAAGAAACTACATGCAGGCTCAAACCTCATAGAACTGTGTACCCACACAAAGTGAATTTTATTGAATGAAAAAAATTTTTAAATGACCATTTCAATAGATCCAGATAAAGCATTTGACAAAATTGAACACTCATTCATAGTAAAAACTTTCAGCAAAAGAGGAACACAAGAAAACTACCTCAATCCCATAAAGGTCATATATGAAAAACCTACCGCAAGCTTGCAGATTTACACTCCAATAAGTAAAGAGAGTGGGAGTCGTCACTCCTATAGTCACAAGAAGAAAGCTAAACCAACTGAAAAAACAACTCTTCTTACATTCCTTAGATAATCGTGGTTACAGGGCAAACTGCTGACCTGAAACCTGGAGAAACAGAGAATTATAGCCTCCCAAGAGCAGAAGCCAAGGAGTGGAAGCCCGCTGCTGGAGCCAGCACTACCAGGACACTTAAAATGTAATTGGCAAACTGCTGGAGTGTTGGCCTATTTGGAATGTTAAAAGCTCCAGCAGGGCCCGGTATTAGAGGGAACCCCACAATGTTGTGAACTGTACCTCTAAGAACCCAACCAGTTCTCACTGTGGACAGAGAAAAGTTGGCAAGGGAAGAGGACATAATCTCAG